GAGAGAGAGAGAGAGAGAGAGAGAGGGGGAGAGAGACAGACAGACAGACAGACAGACAGACAGACAGACAGACATAAAGACAGCCAGACAGAGAGAAGAGGGCGGGGATTATGGGTCAACAGCCGTTTATTGGGATTGTCCGGCAGTTTTACTTCTTTTTTTCCCCTTCCTCTGGTATCCTTATGATGTCGAGGGGAGGTGCAGGTTTCGGTCCTGTGCTAGGTGTGTAGCGTCTGTGATAGATATGTTATATATTAGTTCCAGGACCTTCTTTACCCCATCCAGCCAGGTCTTTCTTGGTCTTCCGCTTGATTTGAAGCCGGAGTCACGGGTGTGGTAAGCTCTAGCTGCTAGTTGTTTCTGAGGCATTTTGGTCAGATGTCCGAACCATTTGACTCTTTGACGCTCTATGAAATTTATGACTCGTGGTATTCCAGTTTGTAGGCATAATATTATGATCTCGTTCCATATACGGTCTCTTCTGGTAACGTTGACGGTTTCGCACTGACTTTTCTTTCTTGTGCCTTGCTTAGAGACCATGTCTAGCAGTAACTGAGTCAGCTTAATCTCGTTGACCTCAGGATGAAAGAAGGAAAGATATTACCTAACTTTTTTTTTTACAGTACCTTTTCATGGGTGCCAACACTTTTGGTCGACCTACCACGAGTTTACCTTTATGGCCAAGTTAAGACAGTCGGATGACAGATTTTTAAAATGTTTTTGAAGACAACCTGCGTCATCTTTTATGAAGTTTGAGCCCTGCCTCCCCCCCCCCCCTCCCCCCCCCAGTTTCTAAAGATTTTTAACGCCTTCTCCAAAGATATTGACATTGGTTATACTTTTCCTCCATTACATCGACCTACCCCCGAGCCCTTTTTTCACACAGCACACTTTAACACACTCATATCCACCCATCTACTTACACACTCACACACAAACATGGGTTCTCAAAGTAAAAAGGTGTAATATTACAGATTTAACACCCCTATCAATACTATTCGAGGCCTCTGAGTTTATTAACGTCCAACTCTACAAGAACAAAGTCAAAAAGGAAATTCCTGTAAAGTGCCTTTCAGTTTTTACTTTTACAAGGACACAAAATCGGACCGAGCTCAGGCTCGCGGAACCCCCAAGCCCGTTATCTAACAATTACGGGTCCGGTGGCCTAACCACTAGACTACCGACGCCACTGGCATCGATGTCACTATACCAAACATGCAAACAAAATGCAACTAAATGTTCAGACGTAAACACAATAACACACACACACACACACGCGCGCGCCCGCGCGCACACACACACACACACACACACACACACACACACACACACACACACACAAGAAAACCAAATGATGTGAGACCACGAAAAAGACTTTTATTGTCCAACTCGTATCACCTCAACAGTGCAGAATAACTTGTGAACCATAAGAAACAAACGTAATATATTGTTACAGAAACAGTATTGTAAAAACAAACATATTAAGTTATATATATTTTCTCACAATAATTATATTACAGAGGAAAATTATTGAAGACTGGAACAAGATGTTATTACCACTTGAAAGAATGTTACAATATTCATAAGGAGCACAAAATAATATGACCAAATGTACAAAACATTTTAGTTCGGAGAAAGACTGAAATCCTTCTCTGTATGTCAATTGTGCTATTTATATAACGTTTTTTTCTTTACAAAGTTGGAACAAAAACCAAAAAAATAAAACAAAAATCAAAGGTCAGAACCCCAAAAAGAGAAAAAAAAGTAGGCCTAATAAATTGTTTAAAATAAAGGAAAGCATGATTATGGTAAAGAAGTGGAAAACTAACTTGAGCAAACAATGACATAAAACATAAGTCACAATGGACTGTGCTAAACTATACTGTGATAACAGAAGTATTGCAAGATTCAAATATTATAATAACTGCATTCTCATTCCCCCCCTCCCCC